TGAGAAGCATAGTATGTGCGATTGGGTGATACGCCTCCAGAAAAGCCAATGCTACGCCAAAGGAATAAGTCTATTATGTAAAGTGCTGAGGAAGAATTTCATTATATGTGATATGCAAAGTTTAATGCGAGGGGGTTTGCAAACAGACGTAAACAGCCAGCGAGTAAGAAAAATAAAGGGAAAAGGCTCAGCAGCTTCGCCAGCCAAAGCAGAGTTGTTTGCCTTGTCTTTTCTGATTTATTTGGCTGAAATCCCCAGAAGCTTAACTTTCCATGAGCAACACAACACACACACTCTCTTGCTTATTCACTCAAAGGACATGTATCACACTAACAAAACACATGGGGAAAGAATGAAAAAATATCCAGTACTGATTGGATAACAGCTGAAATAATATAGGATTACTAGGCAAGGCAAGTTTATTTATATAGCATATTTCATACACAATGGTAATTCAAAGTGCTTTACATAAAAGAAAAGAAAAAGCGGGGACCTGACACATATCACTGAGAGCTGTTTACAGTTGTTTTTGGTTCACCTACAACAGATGGAGGGCTTGGGCCCTGGCGTTGTGGCAACGGCCGGAGAGCTCTCACAGGAGGAGGAGGACGAGCTGGGCCCACAGAAGCTTAGAAGTGGAGATGCTGGAGAGAGGGATAATGTGTCTGGTGAGAGGGGCTGTGGCTCTGGTGTTTCCGGTGGCTGAAATATGCTGTCCTGGCTTCCCTGGCTGTTTTCCAGAAAGTCGTCCTTGGCTGCGGAGTCTTGGAGCTGTTCTGATACATCACAGTCTGTCTGTGATGAGCTTCAGTTTAAACAGTTGTCTATGGCCCCAGTAAAGATTGAAGTTGTCGATGAAATTGACTCCTCTTAAACTGCAGATTATTTGTAGCCATGTGTTCAGCCCAAGCAAACGTGAAAACATATTAGTTCCCCTTGCTGGGAGTGGTCCACTGATGAACGACTGAACTTTAAGTCTTCGAAGTGTTTCAAAGAATTCACTGAAGTCCTTCTAAAGGAGTTCTGACTGCTCTTTCCGAATATCATTCTTCCCCACATGGATGATGATTCGATTTGCAGTCTTGTGCTTCATTAGAATGTTCCGAAGTTCCTTGTTCAAATCAGAAACTGTTGCTTGAGGAAAGCAGAAAGTTGCTGAATTTCTGCTACTGATGTTTCTGATAATGGAGTCGCCCACTATCAGAGTCCTGGGCTCGGCTGCGCTCTGAGCTGAAAGCCGCTGTCTGCTCGACCTTGAGCGTCTGTTAGTAGCGATGTTAGCTGCTGGCTGATCCGATCCATGTTTAATCACATTTGGGGATTCCTCACCCGCATTCATTAATGCTTCAAATCTGTTATCAAGATGTATAGGGGGTGGTAGAATACCAGTATTCACAAGCCTTGTCATAGCCG